AACAAAATGTCATTCTAATAACAATAATATGTCATTGCTATTATTATTATTATAGCAGCTAATATCTACTGACTGTTTACTATGTACTAGGTACCACACAAAGCACTTTACAGAGCTTACCCTGCTCAATTCTCATGCTCATTTGACAGATAAGAAAACTGAGGCTTAGAAAAGTTAAGAAAACTAGCAAGCATCAGAACCCAGATTAGAATCCAAGTATGTGTATCTCCAAAGGCCACCCCCACCCTAGTCAGCAGGCTGGAGTGAGAGCTCAGAAAGGGCCTGAGCGGAGGCAGAAAGGAGGAACTATAGGCCTGGGATGACTACTACCTGAAGAAGGTGCCTGAATAGTAGTTGCAGCCAGGTCATGAAGAACTTTGAGTGCCAGTGCAGGCACCTGTCTGTATTAATAAGCAATGGGAAGCAGCAGGAGGTCTGACATAACTAGATCAGTGGGAAAAATGGATAGGGTTGAGAGGATGGAAGTGAAGAGGCCATCACAATGGTCTGGGTGAGAGACTGCAGCTGGGCAAGGTGAGAGTGTGTGGGAACCTGTGAGCACATGCCTATGTGTTAGGTCTGCAAGATTATGTATGTGTGAGAAAGGGAAAGTGTGCAAGTGTGAGTGAGCATGTGAGTGAGCGTGGGGAGCCTTCCTGTTGAAGAAGGTTGCAGAGCCCTCACGGTGGGAGGTGGGGTGAGGTAAGCAGGGACAGAGGAAGGGACAGGACAAATCAATTGGTATATCTGAGCAGGAGGGCTCAGGTGAATTAGAAACCATCATTTCACAGCTCTGTGGCCCCTGAGAAGCCCACAGAACCTGGCATGTTAGAGGGACTCGATTAACATTTGTTAAAATGATGTATAAATGAATTTAAGATCTCGGCCTCAAGTCTTTGGAGGCCTGGCGTTGCACTCCATCTGGGTGGGGGTCCCTGTCAGTCCAACTACACCTTTCCTCATCCCTGGCCCCCTCCAACCCAGATCAGATATTCTGAGCTGGAGCAGCCACAGTCCCAGGGCCTCAGCCCCCTTCCTGGGCCTTGTGCTCCCTGCATATCTTTCTAACAAGCATGTTCCTGTGAGGACTCCAAGCTGATTTCACACTTTCCTAGGTCAGGGTCTCCCCTCATCCCTCCTATTCCAGAGCAGAAAAGATGCTGCCAAATTGGTTCCAAGCTTTTGTCTGGGCTGGAGATATCCTGCTTCTTATTAGGGGCAGAGAGAACTGACCAGCACCTCCTGACACACTCTCCAGCTGGCCAAAGACTCTCCCTCTGGAAGATTTCATAGGCCCACCAAAGAATGGCCCTGGATCTCATCCTCTCTAGAAGACACCCCTTTCAAGACTGCGCCCAGCCCCAGTTTTTGTCCCAGCAAAACAGAACAGGTACCACAGTGTCCAGGAGGGGCCGGCTCCCACAACCCGAGATAAGAAAACTTGGTCTCAGTTTCTTGGGTACCTCCTGTCCCACTGAGTAAAAGGGGAAGCTTTCTCCAGAGTAACGAAAGACCATTTCCTTTCCTGCTCAGCTTGGCTGCAACCCTGTTTGATGAAATAATGAGTACGATTTGGCATCTAGAGAGAAAAGAGATCTCTCTCAGACTGAATAAGCTACAAAAATTTAGAGGATGAAACACCTTGAAAATCATGGAATCTAAACCCCCTAAAAACAAGGAAATATCGACAGACGTGAAAATAGATGTAGAAATAGAGGCCTAAAATCTTGGAGGCTTTCACTTGCTTAACATCAATCTAAGCCATTCTTTGCTTTCATCAGAAACCCAGTTTGCATCCAAAAGGATATCTGTGGAATAAATACACCTGCCTTTGGGGCAGAGCCTGGACTAGAACCTGGGTCTGTGCCTCTGCGCTCATAGCCTTTATGCTCAGGCTCTCTGCCTCCTGGGGCTGTGCCTGTCATAACTGTTTTATTTCCTCCAGGCCACTCGGGCAGAAGCTGGTGGGTGATTTGTTAGACAGTGAGTCCTGGGGGCCACCTGGCACAGTCTGCCATCCAGATGGCAGCCACCTAAATCCAACAGGGTGGGAGGGGGGGTGGGCAGGGGAATGTGTGCTCTGATTTATGGGAGATGTAGGTGGGCTGGCTTGCCTCAGGCTATGGGGCGTTTCCAGGGTCTAGGAAACTGCTCCTTCTCCCCATCCCCTTTTCTTGCCACACTCTCCAAGAAAACGTGAAGAAGTAAGCTCACTATCCACTAGGGAGGAGTCCCCAACCCCTAGGCCAGTACCAGTACATGGCCTGTTAGGAACCTGGCCACACAGCAGGAAGTGAGTGGCAGGCCACAGAGTGAAGCTTCATCTGTATTTGCAGCCACTCTCCAGCACTAGCATCACCCCCTCAGCTCCACCGCAGATCATCAGGCATTAGATTCTCATAGGGGCACCGGTACCTGGTGCCAAAAATGTTGAAGACCGCTGCACTAGGGAACCCACACTTTGGAAGGGCCATACTCGTCCCCACAGGGTTGCTGTCAGTGAAAAAGGAAGGCAAGAAATGTGGGAAAAGCAGTAAGAGGTCACAAATCCTGGCTGAAAATTCAGAAGGTCCTAGCCACTACTGGGTGTGTGAGCCTCAGCTTCCCCATCTGAGCCTCAGTTTCTCCATCTGAGCCTCAGTTTCTCTCTTTAGTGAAGTCCACGTTGGATGTTCCCTCAAGGCCCCTTCTGGCTCTGAGAAACCTAGGATTCTGAGGTAAGGAACTGTGTCTTCCTCTTCACCTTCATGTCTCCAGCACCTAACACATAGTAGGTACTTAAACCAGTTCACTGAAGGATCAGATGAAATGGGTCCTCGGTCAGTCCAAAAATTGCGTAAAGGCCAAGACAGAGATTCTTCTCTCCAGTCTACCACCTGACAACCACAGAATCCACAGGTCTTGGAAAAGCCCTGGCAAGCCTGGAGCCCTTTGCAAACTGCTTCTTCCCCTCTATACACAAATGTGTTTGGAGGAGCCAAGCAGGAAGCAAGAAAATGTGCTTGGGAGAGAGAGGAAGGCCTAGATCCCAGACAGGAGCAGATCACCCTACGCCTACTTTCTAAACTCACCTGGCTCCTCTTCCTCCTGCCTTTTCTGGCTTCCCTCTCCTTTTTTCTCTTTGTCTCCTCTCTCTACCCTCCCATCTCCTTTCACTCTTTGTGCACGGTCACCTTTCCTGCCTCCTCTGTGGAAGATCAGAACCTTCTGCTGGTCCCGGAGTGCCTGATCCTGTTAGGCAGGAAGACTGGGGGCTGAGTGGAGACTTTTCTGATGGGCCAGGCTTTCTCAGGGGCAAGGCAGGGTTTAGAAAGCCCCAATGGGAGAGATTTAAATTTTCCCTCTGGGCCTCCTGAGCCTTTCCCCTACACGCCCTGGCACAGAGCCAGATAAGACAGGAAACGTCTTCTCTTCCAAGCTGAGACCTAATTAGAAGAATAGTGAGTGTGCACACGCCTGTTGTGCGTGTGTGCGCGCGCGTGTGTTGGGGAAGGGATGGGATGTGTTATTGTTGGTGTGTGAATATACACAGTATAATAGCAGGGTGTATGGGTAGCATCATGGGTGGTGTATTGTGGTGAGGTATACGTATGGTGTATCTGGTGTGCATTGTGATGTATGTGTATAAGTGGTATGTTTACAGAGTGTGTGTGGTGAGTAGGGTGTGTGGTGTGTGTAGTGTGGTATGTATATGCGTTTGGGTGTTTGGAGTGTGTTTGTGATGTGTAGTGTGGGGGTGAGTGGAGTAGGCAAGGGGCCATGTCAGCTTGGGTGGAAGCTAGCTACCCAGGGTCCCCTACCCAGAGAAGCCAGGGTTAATCAGTATCTAGGCAACCATGCTGGGGGGAGGGGAGGAGATATGGAGGTGAGGAATGGGCAGGAAAAGGAGGGAGGCTGAGAACTGAAGAGGAGTTACCATGGCAACTAACAGGCAGGTCACGTGCAAAAGGCTAAGTTGTGGAAGCAGACATACATATCCACACATACATAATATGAGGGCACTAGGTCCCCAGAGTGGGGGTCATTTTACAGGGGACGTGGGCTGCCCACTGATCCATCTCCAAATCTGGAAATCTGGGCCCAGCCAGGGAGCACTGCCAAGGAGACAAAGGAAGTAGAGATCGAGGCCACATTGCTGGGGAGAAGCCTCAGCTGCCTCAGCCCCCCACATCTGGAAGTTGGCAGCAGGGCCTGGACAGGCCCATTTCTCCAGCACAACTGCTCCCTGCTCCAACCTTTGGGTGCTTTCTCTATCAGCCACCACTTGTAAGAGCCAGAAGCAAGCACCAGGAGCCACTGGCTGCTCTTCCAACTCTCCGCGGAAGCCGGGCAAGACACAATGGGAGAGGTTCTGCTAGGACCAGCCCTGCTGGGGAAAGGAGCTGGGCATGAAAAAAAAAGGGGAAAATAGCGGGGTTCAGGGCTCCTAGAAGAAATCAAGACTGGATAAACAAGAAGGAGAAAAAATTGATGCAGATGTTCTCATGAATCCCCATGCCCTGGAACCTCCGCCCGTCTTTGCCTTCCCCCACTGCCCAGCCAGCGTCCAAGCCCGAAATCAGCAAGTCCCATTTTGTATTGCTCATGTGTCCACACTCAACATCCAGCCATCTCCCTACGCTCTACTCCAGTGTCCACAGCCTCCAAGTAACAAAGGGAAGGCTCCCCCTAGATACAGGGGGAGGGGATGCAGCCCTTTCCCCTTCTAAAAACCAGAGCCTCAAGCTCCAGGCAGAAGCAAGTGAGTTTCCAGCCAGCAGTTTCACCCCCACTGCCATGGCCTGCCTCCCCTCAGAGACCCCTCTCCCCTTCCGACGCCCACATCCTCCCTTACATCCTAATCCAGTTTCCGCAGCCCAAGCGGCAGCTGCCTCGGAGGACGGCTCACACCCACTGAAACAAACAAACCCCGCAGCTCCGGGGTGCCCGCGATCGGTCCGCACCCGAGCCTCCCCCTCCTGGTAGAAGAACCCAACTTTGCCACGTCCGCAGCCGCTTACCTGCACAGCGTACTCCCCTCCGAGACGATCCCTGGAGGACGTGCCGAGTCCGGGGGAGCTGGGAGTGGGGTGGCTCAGGCAGGGCGGTGGGAGAGGCTTTCTCTGTTTTCCCGCCTCCCCTCGGGCTAAGGGCTGGGCTCCGGGAGAGGCGCGTGCAGCGGGGGTGGGGAGCGGTGGGCGGGGCTCGGCCGGCCTGCCCGGGGGACCGCTGCCGCCGAGTCGCGGTCCGGCTGGTTTCTGGATAGCCCCCGCGCAGACCCCTCTCCACTCGCCCTGCGCAGCCCTCCTGCTCCCGGCTCGCCGCCTCGGCCGCGGGTGAGGGAGGGATTCTTTCAAAGGGCGGCCACCTCCGAGAAGCAACAGGAGCCTGCCGCCGAGGGGGCGGGCCAGTACCAGCACGGATTTGCCAACTGCTGCTGCCTTTTGGTTTTCTCTGGTGAGGGTGGGAAGGGAGCGAGACAAACACAATGACAGAGCTAGTGTCACTCTGAAATAGTAAACTGAGGGGAACGGGAAAATCAGAGAAAATAACCCAGCACCAGACACTGCAACCCACGTTAATTGGAGCCTTGGCAATTAAGGGGAATGTGCACCAAAAGCATGAATGGCTGTGTCATAGGCGCTCGCGCGGGCTCTGGTTGTGATCGTCATCTAAGCTAGAGCAGGTGGGGTTCTGGGAGTGGGACACTCGCCCCGACCACAGATTTGCTGCCTAGAACCCCCTTTTCAGAGTCCCCCATCCTGGCCCTGCCAGGTCACAGCACTACCCTCTCCCCAGCTCACTCCTCAGGGTCCAAATTCAAGATGGCAAACTGAATTTGAAGATTTAGATTTTAGTTCTGCAATTCAGCCTGTGACGTGATCTAGAGCAAATCACTGAAGGAAGCTCTCGAGCTTCAGTTTCCTCCCATGTGAAAATGGCTCTGAGAACCCTGACCTCCTGGGAGTCTTAGCCTAGCACTTAGAATAAACCAGCTGTCCTCACCAGGAGCAGGTTTGTAGGAAGGGAAGAGTCCAGGCACTGGCAGAAAACAGAAACATAGCAAGAGCTGACCACTCGGTAGCCAGGAAGCCGTGCTGCCTGCCATGAGACTGCCCAGCTTGAGCCAAGATGGGGGCAAACAGCATGAGGGGTAGATGCTGAGAGAGGCTGGGAGTGTCCAGGCCTGGGCAGGGCCCCCTGGGACTTCCTTATAGGGACAATGGGTACTGCTAGGAAGAGACCCAGCCATACATCTAACACCCCAACCCTGGGCCTCCATTTTCTCATTTGTGCAATGAAGGAAATGGCTAGATAATCTTCAGGCCCCTCCCAGCTTGAACCTTAGATGATTTAATTATCTTAATAAATGGTCATGTCTCAAAACCCCAAGACAGGAAATATTCAAGAAATGCTTTGCACAGATTTGGAAGCCATAAATGACTACTGAGAGAGTGAAGTAGCCTCCTCAGGGAGACACTCGAGAAGACAGCTCTGATCTGTGTGACTTTACACAAGCTTTCTGTACCTGTCTTTTCCTTTATAAGCTGAGAACTTGGTTACAATGTCCTTCTCCCTCTTCTTTTGGTCTAGGTGAGAAATCAGCCCATGACACTTACTAGACCTCTGCTCTTGAGCAAGTAGATTAATCCCTCCCAGATGCCCTTGACTTCTGCCTGTTGGACACCTCTCTGTGTTGCTGTTTTGGAGTTCCTACTGGCAAGGACAGGTCAAACCCAAGCTTTGCGAGCCTGTTAAGGAAAGGGAAGGCTAGGGGTCAGAACTCCAAAGCTGAACCACCTGCTCATACCAGTCCCTTTCTTGCCAGAAAATTTTAAAGAGTTTGGCCAAATTACTGAGCAGGTACCTCTGCCTAACAGTGCTGACCACTGAAAAGTAGCAGAGGGATACCAGGAGGTACATTCACATGAGAAAGGGCCATGGCTTGCCTCTCGAATGGTGTTTCTTCTCAGTCCATCCAGGGGCACTGCTGAAGGAATTTGGGGTGACGCGGCTGTGAAGTCACACACAAGCTTGTTCTAGAGGGAGTCCTCTCTCTCTTCTAGGGGGAGAAGAAACACATCTAGTCCCTACCCTATGAAACATGTGGGCATGGGTTTTAAAGAAAGGTCACCAACTGCTTCATTCTTTCAACACATGTATTGGTGTGAGGAGCTACTAGCCCTGGGCCAAGCTCCAGGGTACAACACTGAAAGGAAAGACACACTAATAGGTGAGATAGATAGCCATTTATTAAATAGTCTCATAAATAAGCATGTAATTAAAACATGGTTCAGAACTCTGAGGAGGTAGCATTTGAGAAGTGATCTGAAGGGTCAGGAGATGTTAAGGAAATGAGATGAAGGAGCCAGGAATTAGAATGACAGATGGGCGTGGGAAATGATTCTGACACAGGAACAGAAGGAACATGTGCAAAGGCCCTGAGGCAGAAGGAGCATGTCATGGAAGGATCCCGAACAGAGGAGACAGGCTGGAAAAGGAAGCAGATGCCAGACTAGGCAGGCCTGATAGTTCCTGGATGATTCCAACCTTAATCCTCAGGAGAATGAAAAGCCGCTGAAGAGCATCAAGAAAACTGTTGCAAGCAAAAATTGGGGAGTAGCTGGCCGTAGCAAGGGAACTCTCAGCCATGGCTCAGGGGCTATGAGGAGAGAAATGCTAATGTGAAGTAAGAAATGGGCCCGAATCCCAAATGAAGAGAACCCAAATTCCTTAGAGGCCCAAGAAGCAAAGAGAGAGAGAATGAGAGACAGAGAGAGAGAGAATGAGAGACAGACAGAGAGACAGACAGAGAGAGAGAGAGTGAGAGAGCGTGCGCGCGAGTGTGAGCTGGGGCAAGACTACATAGCCATAGTGAAAGTAGAGAGAGAGAGAGAGAGAGCGAGCGAGCGAGCTGGGGCAAGACTACATAGCCATAGTGAAAGAAGGGAAGAAACCATTTCTGAACCACCCGCCTCCAGTATTGGCGCCATGGGAGACCTAGGGCTTGAGAGGACGGTATAACTGTTTGGAGTGTAAGAGAGTGCTACATGCTTTAAAGTGTGTGCTCAGCTGACTAAATGACTTACAACTGTACAGCTAAAACTCCATCTGGATAGTACTTGCCCCAGTTCCCTTATGCTGTAGCAGAAGTAGGTCTTTGTTATGTCAGTGCCTGGGTCACACAGCCGTAGATAGGAAGCTAAAGGCCTGCAGGGAAAATTAAAGGAGCAAGACCAGGAATCTTGGAAGGGAGACTCCTGCCCTTCCCAGCAGGTAACCCTCCAAGGTGAACACAAGAAGATTCTGGGGTGCCATTTCATCCTAGGGTGTGCAGTACAAAACCAGAGCAGATTCTGTCCTCTAGGGGCACAGGGCAGGCCACCCCAAGATATCCCACAGTAGCATATTATTTGGAATTAAAGTTAAGAAACTGCCCATGCAAGGAGAAAACCTTGACCTCTCTGTCTCTATAAAAGCAGGAGATAAATCTCCCACGTGATAAGTGCCCTCCCTGTTCCTGAGGGCTGAGAGACACATTATTACAAAAGTCAGAAGAATCCAGAGTGGAAAGCTTGTACAAACAAGCCTAGTGATGTCTTTACTAGTTTACTACACAAGCCCAAACTTCGTTCAGACTCCTCACTAACCCAAAGCTCGCTTAGATTCCTTTCCATTGAGCACTAACTTTCTTTGTCCTATCAATTTATCGCAAATTTATTGTTTGTCTAAAAGTATAAAAAGGTTCCGGTTTCCGTCATTTCTTTGAGCCTCATTTTATGGTCTGAGCATCATATTGTGATTCTCTGGTGCGCACATATTAAATTGGTTTTTCTGTGTTATTCTAGTCTTGCATCAATTTTATTATTTTATTACTAGTGTAATCATAAAAACTAAAGAGGGGAAGTGGGATTCTCCCCACCCCACACAGGCAAATGCTAAACCCTCAATCCCTAGGACAGAACTGTTCCCTAACTTCTTGGCTGGAGGAGTTCTAATCACTTCCAAATTACTCGTTGATCCAGATCCCTTCCTCCCTCCCTGACTGTTCTTTCTCGAACTTCTTTGGCTTCTCTCTTAGGCAGCTGTGTGGGCCAGGGGCAGGCCAGGCAGTTTGTCACTCTGCTCTATGTGGCTTCTGGACAATCCAATTCACAACCATGGTTTTACCGCCCACTTAGGGCTGATGACTCCACAATCTCCAGCCTGGTCCTCACCCCAGAGATCCAGCAGAATACTCCTCGGGGACTCAGCGCTGCTCACACTGCATGCATCATTTGACCCAACCAAAGTTGCTTCCCCTCATGTCTTCCTCGATTCCTAAATGGCACTGCCCCAGCCCACTTACTCACCCTCACTCCTCTTCCCTCACTGCTTCTGTTCCAGCTCAGGCCTCCTTGGCACCAGCCTCTGCTGGTAACTCTGACTCTGTCTCCTCATTCCCAGGCTATCAACTCTTGTTTGATAGTTATTTTCTACAACACATATATGGTTCAAACCTTTAGTGGCTCCCAGTTTCTACAAGTTTTAATCCAACTTTTTTTTAAAGAAAAAATTTTTTTTAAGAAAGAATGTTTTTACTAAATAACACTTCTTCAGCTCATCAAAATACAAAATTGGATCATAAACTCTTCAGTTATAAATTGCTCTTCCAATATTATAGGTTGCATTGAGTCATGCTTTATAATTTTTGTCTATATGAGGGCTCAGAATTAGCAGAGATGTAAAAGCTTGTTTTCCTTTTTTAAATTTTTCAGTTACTGTTGACATTCAATGTTATATTAACTTTAGGTATCCAAGGTGATTCCCTCAATAAGTCTAGTACCCACCTGACACCATACATAGTTATTACATTATTATTGACTTTATTCTCTATGTTGTACTTTAAACCCCCATGACTATTTTGTAACTACCAATTTGTACTTCTTAATTCCTTTATCTTTTTTACCCAGCCCCCACCCCCCCACACACTTGGCCACCATCAAAATGTTCTCTGTATTTATGTATTTGTTTCTGTTTTGTTTCTATATTTATTTTGTTTTTTAGACTCCACATATAAGCAAAATCATGTATTTATTTTTCTCTGTCTTACTTCGCTTAGCATAATACCTTCTAAATACATCCATGTTGTCGCAAATGGTAAAATTTCATTCTTTTTTTATAGCCGAGTAATATTCCATTGTACATATGTACCACTTCTTCTTTATTCACTTGTCTATTGATGGACACTTAGGTTGGCTACTGTAAATAATGC